CAAACCCGTGGCAAAGGCATCGGCTGTAGCGGTCTTGAATCCAATAAGCATACAGAAGCCAGAGACATCGCCCTTGAGAGCTAGGATGTATTGCCAGCCGGTGAGCCAATCCTTGGGCAGGGTTAGAAAATCGGCGTGGAGCAGCTCGTTGGGCTTGGTGGCATGGAGGGACTCACCAAGCGGACGTGGCACCATGCGACCCTACACACAGATATAGTGTAAGCAGGACTGAACGAACGCCGCGACATCGGCAGCCTGCGCACCCCACACGCACCATTCAGAGAGTGACAATAGCGTAGTGTCCACACCACATGGCCAGAGAGGTGGGCATGAGCAATCACGAGGAGGCGAGCTTGGAGCGATCGCGCTTCATCTGGAATCCACGCAAGGCCATCGCCTGAACAATAAACGGCCCGAGAAGGGTCCATTGTCACGCCGGCTGGCGGTGGCAAGTGATCCCGCTGAATGTTAGCAATCTCATCGAGCGTGGGCCAAACGAAATCAGCAGTCTGCAGTGGAGACACAGGGTCCAGTGCAAGTACGCCAACAGAGCTGGCGGAAACAACAGGTGATACGATACCCCAACGACTAAGCATGTCAGCCCACATATTGGACTCACCGGGGATGTGAAGGATCGAGTAGTTATAGCTAGCCATGACCATAGCCCATCGTTGAAGGCGATCGGCTTGATGGCGCTGCATGGCGCCGTCGGTTTCAAGTGGGTCAAAGATGTAGACGAGATTGGGTGATCGGTACAAATCACAAAACCACGAGGGCGTAGCAGCATGTACTCCAAACGCTTGCAACTCTCCACAATCGCGAAGGCCTACTTGTCAGGGATGGGCCATTGACTCGCGGTACCCGTAAATCAACCATTAAGGAACGCCAGCGGGCGATGACGCTGTTTGGCGAGTGTCAACTGCTGAGAAAAAACGAACACTTGTTTGGGTGTAGCTTGAGGCCTGAAGCACGCGGTCCAAAATATCGAGAAGCACATCTTCCGTAGAAGCGTAACCCAGAATGTCATCTAGCCAGGCGAGGATCCCACGATACCTCACATCTTTGAAAATGAGTTCAACGCACGATTGGCAGTAGCCCACGCTGTCGGATC